GTCCTGAGGGAGCTCCGAGAGCACTTGGAGCCGTCTTGTGGTGCTCTTGGGGCCTCATAGAGCCATCTTGAACCATATTCGGCTAGCTTGAGTCATCTTCAGGGCCATCCAGACGCATCTGGGGAAGTTGTGGAGCCATCTTACATCATCTTGGGCTCTCTGACCGCTGCAGCCAGGGCCTGAAGCCTCAGTCAGGGAGGGGAGGGGGAGGGTACCTCCTCTCGAAGGAAAGAGGGTTTCAGGAGAGGAACGGAGAAACCCGTTAGACCACTTACGCCCACATGGCTCTTGGGACTTGCGGCGAGATGGGCGTATCGAAGCCCTAGCGTTTCCGACGAGGCCCTGCGGGTGGCCACGAGGCCCCAAGAAAACCCAGCGAGATTTTCTAGGAGGGCTCGGGAGTCGCCCATTAGTGCCAATAAATTTAAGCAATGTAAGCAATGTGTCCGCCCCAACCTGGGGTCGGATACGAAGGAACGCATCTAGAAACACAAGGGGCGTGCTGGTATCCGACCCCTGCGCTGGGGTCGGATACCAAGGAGCATACATAACAGCACCGTGGAATTGCAGGTCTCCTACCCCGCTGCTGAGGTCGGATACCATAGCGAATCACAGAAAGTGCAGGTATCCGACCCCGCCGCTGGCGTCGGACACCAAGGATATATGTACAAACACAAAGGAAAGGATATATTCCCCAATCAGAGCTTGCCTCTGTAGGGGTCCTAGCGGATTCATATGGTTAGGTTAGGTTTGCCGCCGATTTTCGCTGCACGCCGGGGTGCCCGGGTGCCCAGGGGTGCCCGGGTGCCTGGGGGCCCAGGGGTGCCCCGGTGCCAGGGTGCCTGGGGGTGCCCGGAGGTGCCTGGGGGTGCCCGGAGGTGCCCTGGGTTGCCCTGGTGCCCTGGGGTGCCCGGGTGCTCTATCGCCCTATAGCCCTACAGCTCTATAGCCCTATATCCCTATAGACCTATAGACCTATAGACCTATGGCCCTATAGCCCTATAGTCCTATAGCCCTATAGCCCTCATAGCCCCTATAGCCCTGTAGCGCTATAGCCCCATAGTCCTTATGCCCTATAGCCCAGTCGCCCTATAGCCCTATAACCCTATAGCCCTTATGGGCCTATAGCCCTATAGCCTTATTGCCTTGTAGCCCTATAGCCCTATGTTCCTATGGCCCTATAGCCCTATAGTCCTATAGCCCTAGCCCTATGGTCCTATAACCGTATAGCCCCATAGCCCTACAGCCCTAAAGATATTATCCTAGTGCGACCCTACCTAGGAGTTGGAGCCACTAGGAAAGCAAGATTAGTAGGAGCGGTAAACGCCGTCCTCCTCCTTCTCCTCATCGTCGTAGTTGTAGCAGTAGCGGTAGTAGTTGTTCTCCTCATCGTCGTGGATGCTGTGCTGCGCTATGCTATGCTCTGCTCTGCTCTGCTCTGCTCTGCTATGCTATGCTATGCTATGCTGCGCAATGCTATGCTGGGCTAGGCTAGGCTAGGCTATGCTATGCTATGCTATGCTGCGCTATGCTATGCGGCGCTATGCTATGCTGCGCTATGCTATGCTAAGCTATGCTATTCTATGCTATGCTATGCTATGCTTTTGCTTTGCCTTTGCTTTTGCCTTCACTTTTGCCTTTGCTTTTGCTTTTGCTTGGCACCCAGGGAGCGCAACTGGGGGAACCGCGCGTTTGCTTTTACCTTTGATGTTGCTTTCGCTTGGCTCCCAGGGGACCGGGGGAACCGCCCAGGGCGGGTTCCACTGCCCGGCCCCTTTAGCAAAGAAAGTTAGAACCCTTGTAGGCAGAGCCTAGGTAGGGAATTATGATTGGTTTTTTTTCGGTATCATGTACTAGCACAAAGGAAGTCAAGGAGTGATGCTCTGTTTTCACGTTGTCGTCCAAGAAGGTCGCAACCGCCTTGGTTTTCGCTTTCGGCTTTCTCTTTGGGGGAGCAGCCTTGGGTTTTTTATTGAGCGCCATGCCAGCAAGAAGCGATTCTGTTAGGCACCGGCTCTTCTGCGAACTCAGTTGGGACCATTTGTGTGTCTGTTGAAAACTTCTGAGACGACTGTGCGCGGCGCTACTTCGGGAGACACGTTTTGAAAACTACCAGTCCTCCATTCATGCAACTGGGTGAATATGAAAGTTTTGGGGTCATGATGATTCTGACGCTGATGATGCTGTCGGTGACGACGACGACGATAATGACGATGCTGATGATGATGCCGATGATGATGCTGATGATGGTGATGATGATGTTGACGATGATGATTACGGTGATGATGATGATGATGATGATGACGATGATGATGATGATGATGGTGACAATGATGATGATGATAATGATGATGCGACTGTGGATGACAATGAGGAGGCTGAGGATGATGATGACGATGATGTTTATGATGATGACGGTCATGACAAATACGATGATGATGACGACGCTGATGATGATGATGATGATGATGATGACGCTGACGCAGACGATGACGATGGCAATGGTGGTGGTGATGACGAATTTGCTGATGATGATGACGCTGCTGATGATGCTTTATGATGGTTATGGCGATGATGATGCTGCTGATGTTGATGTTGATGTAATGGCGCTGATGATGTTGAGGATGATGATGTGTATGACGATGATGATGGTGATGATGGTGATACTGATGATGCTGATGCTACTGTTGATGATGCTGATGACGATGGACGATAGCGATGACGATGTCGATGACGACGATGATGTTGATGGTGATGATGCTGATGATGCTGCTGAGGCTTATGATGATTATGGTGCCAATCACGATGGTGGTGATGATGACGATGATGATGATGATCATGCTGATGATTATGATGATGATGATGCTCATGATGATGATGATGATGATGATGATGCTGATGATGATGATGATGATGATGATGATGATGTGAGGATGGCGATGATGATGCTGGTGCTGAAGCTGATGATGATGACGATGATGATGCTTATGCCGATGATGCTGCTGCTGCTTATGATCATGATGATGATGATGCTGATGATGCTGATGATGCTGATCATGATGATGATGATGGCGATGACGATGACGATGATTATGATCACTGGGAGGCTGAGGAGGAGGATGATGATCATGATGCTGATGATGATGATGGTGGTGATGGTGCTGATGATGATGGTAATTCTGAGGGCGAAGATGAGTACGATGAATGTGATGATGATTACGATGCTGCTGATGATGATGATGATCATGCTGCTGATTATGGTAATGATGGTCATGATGACGATGGCGATGACGCTCGCTGGCGCTGACGATGACGATGATGATGATGCCGCTGATGATGCTGATGATGATGATGATGATGATGATACTGATGATACTTATGAAGAGTATGATGATGACGAGGACGATGACCATGCCGATGACGCTGCCGATGACGATGCTGATGGTGATGGTGATGACGATGCTGATGATGCCGTTGCTGCTGCTGCTGATGATCATCATGATGATGCTGCTCATGATGAGTATGATCATGAGTATGACAACGCTCCTGATGATGACGCTGATGATGATGATGTTGATGCTGATGATGATGATGATGATGATGCTGATGATGAGGTTGTTGATTGCCATGCTAATGACGATGATGATGCCGATGCTGGTGATGCAGCTGATGATGAGGATGCTGATGATGATTATGAAGCTGATGATGATACTGATGAACGGGATGACGATGCCGATAATGCTTATTATGACGATGATTCCGTTGGCAATGATGACGACGACGATGATGACGTTGCTGATGAAACGATGATGATTGTGACGATGATAATGGCGCTTATGATGATGATGCTGATGCTGATGATGATGATTCAGATGACGATGTTGATGATGATACTGACGATGATGATGTTGATGCTGATGCTGATGTCGTTGATGATGGTTGTATCGACGATACCGATGAGGATGATGATGACGATGCTGATGCTGATGCTGCTGATGATGATGATGCTGATGCTGATGTTGATGATGATGATTCTGCTGCTACTGATGATACAGATGATAGATAATGGTGGTGGTGATGATGACGATACTGTTCATGATGCAAGTCTTATGATGGTGACAAGGATGATGATGCGGATGATGCTGCTGATGATGATGATGCTGCTGATTCTGATGATGATTACGATGAGGATGAGGCTGATGATGATGATGATGATGATTATGATGATGTTGATAATGATGCTGATGCTGATGACGATGACGATGATGATGCTGATGCTCATGATGATGCTACTGATGATGCTGTAGACGGTGATGCTGCTGCTGACACTTATGGTGATGATGGTGATGATGATGCTGATGATGCTGATTGTTATGATGATGCTGATGATGATGATGCTGATGATGATGCTGATGATGATGATGACGATGATGATGACGACTATGATGACGATGTCGATGATGATGATGATGATGATGATGATGATGATGATGATGATGATGATGATGATGATGATGCTGATGACTGATGCTGATGCTGATGCTGATGCTGATGCTGATGCTGATGCTGATGCTGCTGATGATGATGATGCTGCTGCTGATGATGATGATGCTGGTGCTGATGATGACGATGATGGCCGTTGTTGTTGTGGTGGTGGTGTTGGTTGTGGTGGCGGTGGTGGTCATGATGCTGCTGCTGATGATGAGGAGGAGGAGGAGGTGGAGGAGGAGGAGGAGGAGGAGGTGGTTGAGGAGAGGGGAGGAGGAGGAGGTGGAGAGCGATGCTGGATATGAGGACGGGGAGGGGGGAGGGACAAGGAGGAAGAGGAGGTGGACCAGGAGCATGTCGCGATTTCACTCTTCTCAATTTCCTGCTCAGCCTCCGTCTCTCGCACTGTTTCGTCCTCATTCTCGAGCCTCTCTCCCTCCTTCTCCCTACTCTTTCCTCTCTATCTTTCCCCGCCGCCCTCCGTTCCCGCTCCTGACGCCCCCGCGGCGGAGGCAAGCGATACCACATCCCCATAAGCGACCAAGGCATTTTCGTCGTGCAGAGCGGCTTCGGGTTCGGGCTGGAGAGCCTTCCCATTTTAGACGAGGGGGAGGAGAGGGGAAGTACGGATTGAGGGGGAGGAGGAGGTGCAACGAGGACTAGGATGAGGAGCGGGGAAGAGGAGGGGGGAGGGAGTAGGGGAGGAGGGTGGTGGATGGAGGATCGAGCAGGAGGAGGGGGAGAGGGAGGAAGAGGAGGAGACATGACGGGCGGACACCAGTGCCACGGATGTGAATGCAAATCTAGTTCCGCCGCCACAGAACAAGTTCTGAGCAGCTTCCACCATCTTCCTCTTTTATCTATCCTTCGTATTCTTTCCTTATCCTTTTTCCTCCCTCTTCCCTCCCTTCTCCTGTCTTTTCCGGCCCCCCCGCCCAGAAATCCCCCCTCGGGTTTGTCTTGGAGTAAGTCTCGACTTGACTTTTGAGGTTAATGCAGCTGTGGTGACAATGGCCTTGCAGGAGGCCCAAACTTGCCCAAGAGCGTTGATGTCTCTCTTTTCATTCTCTTGAGGGTCCAAAGTCGCACACTTCTCGGACAGCTCTATAGAGTTGACCTCCCACCATCGCACGTAACATTATTTTGGAAGTGGGAGCGAGCCGTTGAACAGCTCTGTTGTTCGGGGGAGCTGCGGGCACTGAAACATTTCTGTTCAGTGGAACCGCGGGTGCTTAACAATTTTGTTGCGAGAGGCACTTGGTCACTGAACATTTTCTTTAGGAGGGGAAGCCAGCCACTGAGAAACTTGCTTGGGATGTGGATTGGGCCACAGCGCACTTGTCTGGACGGGGAGCGAGTTCACTGAAATGGCTTGGTTCGGCTTCCGCGAGAACAGAGCGTTTGCCATCCTCGGAGTAAGGTTTTGGGCAACCCTTCCTGGGGGAGAGCCCACTCCCCGCGTCAGAAAACGACACGCTGACCGTAGCTGAGCACCCCACGAATCCGGCGATCGCAAACATGGATTAAGGGGGCGTGGATTGGCGACGGGTCCCGTCTCCATGGGGGATCGCGGATTTCCGCCGCCGAAGGAGGCGGCACCGGCCGCGTTTTGGGGAGGGCACCTCCCCCGATCAATGGATTTGGCGACCGCGCGCCTTATCCATGGATCGCTAATCCATGTTTGCGCGCCCCCGAGTAGCTGAGTACCCCACGAAGCGATGGCCTCCCGCCCCGCCTCTTCTCTCCGCCCGTCGCCCCAGCCCGTCCTTTCCCGTCGCCCTCCCTCCCCCTCTCTCGCTGGCCCCAGCTCCTTGCCTTGCCGCGCCCGTGTCTCTTTGTCGGTTCGCCCTGTGGTCCGAAGAAGAGCGCGCTGCATTTTCCGCTTGCGCTCACACCCACGCACCGCTAGGTGTATGGTTTTCAGTTCGTTTCAGTTTGCAATTCTGCATCTCCCACCACCCCGCATGTGAGCGGCGGCCATCAAGTGGGCCGGCGCACATGTAAACGAACTCATGATCTTCCGTGCTGAGGCTGTGGCCTCTACCCCAAGTTTTTTGCGTCTTCGGGGAATGCTCAGGAAGCTTCTCAGAAGGCCCCAGGCTTTCCGAGCCTTTCCGAGAAGGCCCGCCCCCTCCGACTTCCCCCCTGGGCTCGCCGCCGACTGACCTGCGCTGGGTGGCCCCCTCGTGGAGCGCGCGCGTGAACCGTGAACCCCACGCTCGCCCCGCACTTGGCGGGGGGGGGGGCGGTGATGGCAGGAGCTGCCGTACCACGCCGTGATCGTGGCCGTCGCGGGGCAGCAGGCGCACTGCGGCATTGGGGCAGGGCGGGGGGGGCCTAGGCTTTGGCCTCCCAGCGACCCATCCCGCCACTGTACCCTGGTCGGAGGCTCTCTCTCGGGGGCCTCCAGGGGGCCGCTTAGGGGGCCTCATGGGGCTTCCTGGAGCTTCTGGGGGGCTCTTGGGAGATTCGCAGAATTGTGAGGATAAGCGTCCGGAGGGGGGAGCTTGGGTGGAGGGCGGTGCTTGGAGCTACGCCAGGCTGGTCTTCCCATTGGTCCGCTCCACAGTTCCTGGGGGCTAGTTCTGAATGTGTCTGCCCATCTCGTGACGTGCGCACGTGTGCAGCATCCGGGTCGCCAAAACGCTGTGGGTGGACACTTTCATGCAAACGTTGTGGATGGTCTTTTTTGAGCAAGCGCTGTGGGTGGACACTTTTATGCAAACGCTGTGTGTGGACGCCTTCTGGTTGGGAAAAAGTCTGCCCCTCCTGCTCGCCCCCAGAGATTCAAAAAAGGCCTGTCCCCACTGTTCGGCACGTTTTGAATATTTCGGGCCTGGCTAGATATGGTGTATTTTTCCGAGCGACAGTCGCCAGCGGGTTCATCTTGAAACCTGGGCGGGCAAGCTCGGTGAGATTGGTTACGTTTCACCAAGCCGCTCCGGCGGTGGATTTGGGTTGGCTGCGGCCTGGGGCCCTTCGGGGCCTCGTACCTCCTCCCGTCCGCAGGGGGACACCGTCGTTGGACCCCCGCCCCCGGGCAGGGTGGGCCCCACGGGCGCGAGCTTCGAGTGGTGGGGCCTCCGCCTCGGGCGGGGCGGGCCTCACCGGCGTGGAGGGAGGCGCCCGACCACAGCGCTTGGGATTCGAAGAGGGGGCCTCGCTCCCGCTTCGGCCATTTGCAGAAAAAGAGATCGGACTCGCCGTTCTCTTCCCCCCCCCTGGCGGGCGGGCGGGAGTGTTCTCCCCCCCCGTATAGCTTGTCTTTGGGGGCCTGCTGGCAGTCTCGCCGCCTCCCGTTCAGACCAAGGGGGAGTGGGGAGGGGGAGATGAGGTTCCAGGATCGATGTTGTCGGACATTTTGTTGCTTTTCTGGGCGTTCTCGCCGTGACTGCATCCGCCTCGAACGCCAGATCAGAATGCACCCCAGGGGAGCTCTTGGGGTTGCTGTTTGCAGGGAGCAGGGGCAGGAGAAGGAGGAGGAGGAGGAGAAGGAAGAAGAATCGAGGGCTCGTGATTGAGGACGGATGAGAGGAGGAGGAAGCAGGATAAAGGATTCTGAGAAGGGTCCATTGCCTCCTGGGGTCTTGGAACGCCGATCCCCCAGGCGGCGGACACGTATGTGAATTCAGGCCCAGTATCTCGTCTCTCGCCCCAGAGCCACCCAGACGGGTACCGAGCGACGAGTACTCTGGCAGCGGACAGGAGGGCGGCATGATAGCGGCGGGAAGTCGCCTCTCTCGCGCGGGAAGGCGCGGGGAAGTGGCGGGAAAGCGCCATCTTCTGGCCTGGGGGATGATGTTTGCTCGCAGCGCGGTCGCTTTCCAGCAGGCCACATTCTGCTGTATGATGCATGGGCCTGCCTGTTGCAGGCCCGTTTGTTTAGTTTTCCTGATGCGCTTAGCGTTTTTTCGATTTGCACTGCAGCTGCCGCATTGTAGAATTTTTCTCCGCCTCGCCTCCAAAAGCAGCACTATCTATATTATAATATAATAATACAAATGCGCATGCGATTTCACAAACTAATAGCAGTTCGAATAGCAATGCATATGATGCCACCAGAATGCTAACCTATTCAGCATAGTAATAGCAATAATATGACTACGAATGGTCAAATCATTATTAAAACTACAGCTATTACGAATATACAAAACCGTAAGGATAATCATACTGCTACGAATGGTAATTCAAATAATCGGGAGGTGCGATGTCTTTTTTCAATCTGACCATCTCCCCCGGGCCAGTTTTTCCGCCCGAGTCGTTCTTGTCGGTCCTGGGACCCAGTAAAGGCCCTTAGAGGCCGAAACTTGAGAATCGCCTCTGCCCTGCTTGTTCTAGGACGTGGCATGCCTGGGAGTACGGCCCCGTCCACCGAGGGGCCCGTAGGGCCGTTGCCAGGTGAGTTCGCTCGCGGACTTCGAATCCGCGCTCGCGATCGTGGCCGACAACGAGACGTTCGAGGCGCGGCCGCGCGCGGCGGGCGCTGCGGCGGGGGGGGGGGCCGCCGCGGCTCTGGGACCCCCGCCACCGCTGTCGCGCTCTCTTGGATCCCTCGCGGGATCCTGGGCTGGGGGGTTCGTGGCCTGGGCCCTCTTATGGGACGCACAGAGACATGCTGATACTATATGTCTTCCTTGGAGGCGCGCGTCCAAGCCGAACCTATAGTATACCTATTTTGTAGTATATCGTTTCCCGAGCGGTGTGGCCAGAAAGCGCCCGCCACGACGCATATACTAGAAGATTTCTCGGTGCGCGCGCCGCCCCTGGGGGGGGGGGGGGCGACGCACATATAATATGAGTATGTTGGGGCCCTCTTAGGGCCACCCCGCGGCCCGAGAGGCCCTCTGAGGCCCGCACGGGCAGGAAGGCCGACACACGTGCAGCACGCATGCCTTTTTTCCATGATCGTGGCCCTCTTGGGAGCATCCGATGAAAGGTTCTTCGGCCATCTTGGGCCGTCTGTGCAGTCCATTGGGCTGTCCCGTGCCACCTGTGGCCATTTTGGGGTGGGGCCACCTCGGCAACATCCCGGAGGCCGTTTGAGGCCATCTTGGAGCCAGCACGGGGCCTGACACGCTTTGGCCCGCGCTCTTGGGGCGCTATCGGCGGCTCTTAGGGCGCTCTTGGGTCGCCTCGGGGAAATTTCGACTCTGTTGAGGTCTGCAGGCCTCCCAGGGCCGCCCTCGCGCGCGCGCCGACTAGATATGTAATCAATCCGACCTGAGTTCTTGTGCGCAGGATGTAACACGTCTATGGTCCTTTGGGTTGGCGACTTTTCGGAGGGATCTTGGGTTGAGGTGTGCGGATCCAGTGTAATTTTACAAGGGGCTGTGGCCCTAGAGCCGGGATCCAGCGCTAATTTCTACGGCTAGTGAGATGACATAATAATCTCGATACCCCCACACGGGACTGTCATATAATCTTTTGGGGGCGGGAAGGGGTACTTACACCGGGGGCAGGTACAGTTTTAACATTCAAGACGTATGCATTACATTTTACACCTTAATACCTTACATCACAGCAGAAATCATAACCACACCATCGATCCCACAGCAAATCGACGCATCACAGCCTGGGCCCCCCAGAAGGGGGCTGGCGGAAACATACGCGTACCATGCCCGCCGACATCATGTCTTTTCCAAAACGTGGACTCTCTGAGGCGTCGACCACTGTCCTGTTTTTTCATTCTGAGGCGTTGCCTTGAGGGTTCTGGGGCCCAGCAAGAGCCCCAGAGGTTGAAATTTTGGGGAATCTTGGCGTCGTGTTTTTTCCACGACGCGAGTCTCGGTCCCTTCGTATCTGTCGGTCTTCTTTTGGCTCGAGCTCGGCTCGGGCATCTCACCTCCGGCGCCCCACGCGGGCCTGCCGGACGAGGGCATGCCCAATTTCTCGCCGGGCAACTTCGTGGCCTCAAGGCAGCGCGACTTTGTGGTGTTCATGGTCGCCAGGGAGCGCCTCCTCCTCCTCGTCCCCCTCGTCGTGCCTCGCTTCGTGCCCCTCGTCGTCCTCGCCCTCTTGTCCGCTTCCTCGCTGCCGCCCGTCCTCGTGCTGGTACCCGCCGCCGCCGCCGCCGCCGCTGTTCACCGAAGTGCCTACTCGCAAGTGTCCGAAGAACAGATGTTCGCCTCGTTGTAGTGGATCGTGAATCCCACGTGTCGGGTCCAGGCCATTTGCGAGTAGTTAACTTTGCGAGTAGTGGAATGCGCTTGTCTAGCCGTCGTCGCTATCGTGTCTGCGTCGTCGGCGGCGACGGCAGCGGCCGCGTCGTCGTCTACGGCAGCGGCGGCCGCGCTACTATCCGGCCAGCCTCCAGGTTCTTGACGCTGCTATCCCCCTAGACTTGGCAGTTCACATTGGTTAGTGTCGATCGGGGCTAGGACGAGGATAAATCCGTTCCAGAGCGTTCCGGAACGCTCTCGGAGCGTTCTGGAACGCTTTGAGAAGGCCGCAGCGCCCGATACGTCCTCCAGAGCCGCCAGATCTCAGAGATTCTCGATCTATCCTCGCCCGAGTTTATTTTTGTCCTGGCTTCGTCTTACAGTGTGCCGACACCACCACCCTGTCGAGCACTGATGCGAAGCGGCGGCGGGGTAGCCAGTATGGTGTAAAGTGTGCTCGCCTGTAATCAGTTTGCATGGGCTTTCGATGCGGATAATGGGCGAGCGCGCAGCGGGCGCATATGTTCACCCCTCGGCATCCCTTCCAGAAACACATGCAACGTGAAAGCGGGGTGCCCTCTGATGGTCTAGATTTGCCGCCACGCCAATTTTTGTTTTGTTTTGACAGAGACGGTGCTTGGGGAGTGCCGCAACTGCTCCTGGGGAGGGCATGCTTTCGAGGCCAGAGGACTCGCTGGATGTCGAGGCGGATCCAGCCGTGGGCTACGAGAACGCACCTGGAAGACAAACCGCTGCCTCAAAGCATCAAGACCTAGACTTTCTTGATGGGCCTGTTTTCCACCACCACCATAAGTTGGAGGGGGGGAGGAGGACGAAGAGGAGGAGGAAGAGGAGGAGGAGGAGGAGAGGAGGAGGAGGAGGAGGAGGAGGAGGAGGACTCCCTCCCCCCTCAACTTATGGTGGTGGTGGTGGTGGAAAACAGGCCCATCATTTCTGTTCGCAGAGCGGGCGGACTCCAGCGCGACTGCAGAGCTGAAGGGCCGCGCCGGACACTGGGCGCACCAGAGCGGGTGGAAGAGCGTCTGGCGACCGCGGAGGAGGGGGGAGTGAGGCCCGGGCCGCCGAGAATCGGCGAGATCGGGCGCGCGCAGGCGGCCTCAGGTGCGGCGGTATCGGCCGTGCAGGGAGGTGCGTGCAGTACTGGCCGTCGACGTCGCACAGCCGGGCGTCACCGCGGGGCAATCCGCCAGCGGGTTTGCCTCGGCGCATGGAGTCGAACCAGTGGGCCTGAATCTGGAGGGGCCAGCTTGGCTGTGGACCTCCGATGGGGAGCTGCGGAGCCGGACGGATGTCCAGGAGGGGGCAGCGGCGATGCCGACCAGGCGCAGCTCAGGGACCAGGTCTTGCCCAGGCGCGCCTTCAAGACCGCATCGGGGCCAGCGGACCGTGATGACCTGGACATGCGATGTCTTGCCTCTCTTTGGCCTCCCTTGGGGCCCCGTTGGGGCTCTCTTGGGCCATCTTGGATCCTGGGGGCCTCTTGGGCCGTCTTGGAACCCTCTTTGGTCGTCTTGGGGCCTTCTTGGGGGCTTCTCTGGCCGTCTTGGAGCAATGATTGTGGCCTCTTGAGCCGTCTTTGACGCTGTTGAGAACAAACGTGCGAATATGCTGGGGCTTCTCGGGGGTCGTCTTGGAGCCCTCTTGGGGCGTCTTTGATGCCTTTTGGCCAGTCTTGAGGCTATCTTGGTCGTCTTCGAGGAATCCTGTGCGTGTTGGAACCCTGCTTGAGCAAGCGTAGATCGATTCGTTGGCATCTCGGAGGCCACAGAGTGTAGAAATGGAGGCTCCAGAGGCCCCGGGGGAGCGTTGGTGAGCTCGGGGTCCCCCCCCGCCCCACCCGTCTACTCGAATTCAGTCATCAGGGGAGGGGGAAAGGGGAAGGGGGGTAGCCAATCATCTCACACGCCTGTGGACCCTTGGCAAGCGGGGGTCGGCGGATTTTTCCCAACCCTCCTGTGTGTTGGTTCCTCGTTTGAAATTCGCAGCGCCGCGCCCTACCTTCTTCTCCTCGCCCTCCCCCTCCTCTCCTCTTCCTCCTCATCCGTGTTATCAGCATCATTCTCATCGTCGTCATCTTCGTCGTCAGCATCATCGCCACCCAATTTCGGCACCCCTCTCACATTTCGTGGCCCCACAGGGAGCGCCACCGAAGGCGTCAGTGGCTGGGTTCACATGGTGACCCGCCCCACTTCGGTACAGCCCTCGCACGTTTCGTGGCCCCAAAGGGAGCTCCACCGAAGGCCCCAGTGGTTGGATTCACATGGTGACCCGCCCCGCTTCGGCACAGCCCTCACACGTTTCGTGGCCGCAAAGGGAGCTCCAGCGACGGCCCCAGTGGCTGCGGTCGCATGCGGCCCCGCCCCATTTCGGCACAGCCCTCACACGTTTCGTGGCCCCACATGGAGCTCCACTGAAGGCGCCAGTGGTTTGATCCACATGGCGACCCGCCCCACGTCCGCACAGCCGTCACATGTATCAAGCCCCACAGGGAGCTCCACCGAAGGCCCCAGTGGCTGCGGTCGCCTACGGCCCCGCCCCGTGTCGGCGCACTCCTCACACGTTTCGTGGCCCCACATGGAGCTCCACCGAAGGCGTCAGTGTTTGGATTCACATGGTGACCCGCTCCTTGCCGGCACAGCCCTCACACGTTTCGTGGCCCCACATGGAGCTCCACCGAAGGCGCCAGTGGTTGGATTCACATGGTGACCCGCCCCGCTTCGGCACAGCCCTCACACGTTTGGTGGCCCCAAAGGGAGGTCCACCGAAGGCCCCAGTGGCTGCGGTCGCCTACGGCCCCGCCCCATTTCGGTGCACCCCTCACACGTTTCGACGTTTGGTGGCCCCACATGGAGCTCCACCAAAGGCTTCAGTGGCTGGGTTCGCAAGGTGCCCCGCCCAATTTCGGCACAACCCTCACACGTGTCGTGTCTCCAAAGGGAACTCCACCGAAGGCGCCAGTGGTTGGATTTACGTGGTGACCCGCCCCACTTCGGCACAGCCCTCACACGTTTCGTGGCCCCACAGGGAGCTCCACCGACGGCGCCAGTGGTTGGGTTCGCATGGTGACCCGCCCCTCTTCGGCACGTTCCTCACACGTTTCGTGGCCCCACAGGCAGCTCCAGGGAGGCCCCAGTGGTTGCGGTCGCATGCGGCCCCGCCCCACTTCTGCTCACCTCTCACACGTTTCGTGGCCCCACATGGAGCTCCACCGAAGGCCCCAGTGGTTTGATTCACGCAGTGGTCCGCTCCGCTTCGGCACAGCCCTCACACGTTTCGTGGCCCCAAAAGGCACTCCAGCGAGGCCCAGTGGCTGCGGTCGCATGCGGCCCCGCCCCACTTCGGCGCATCTCGCACGTTTGGTGGCCCCACAGGGAGCTCCACCGAAGGCGCCAGTGGTTGGGTTCGCATGGTGCCCCGCCCCGCTTCGGCGCGGCCCTCACACGTTTCGTGGCTCCAAAGGGAGCTCCAGCGAGTCCCCTCTGGCTGGCTCCAAAGGGAGCTCCACCGAAGGCGTCGGTGGCTGGGTTCGCATGGTGCCCCGCCCCACTTCGTTTCGTGGCCCCACAGGGAGCTCCACCGAAGGCGCCAGTGGTCTGATTCACATGGTGACCCGCCCCACTTCGGCGCAGCCGTCGCACGTTTCGTGGCCCCACAGGGAGCTCCACCGAAGGCCCCAGTGGTTGGATTCACATGGTGACCCGCCCCGCTTCGGCACAGCCCTCACACGTTTCGTGGCCGCACAGGGAGCTCCAGCGAGGCCTCAGTGGCTGCGGTCGCATGCGTCCCCGCCCCACCTCGACGGACCCCTCACACGTTTCGTGGCCCCACATGGAGCTCCACCGAAGGCGTCAGTGGCTGGGTTCGCATGGTGCCCCGCCCCACTTCGGCGGACCCCTCACACGTTTGGTGGCCCCACAGGGAACTCCACCGAAGGCGCCAGTGGTTGGGTTCGCATGGTGCCCCGCCCCGCTTCGGCACGGCCCTCACACGTTCCGTGGCCCCAAAGGGAGCTCCACCGAAGGCGCCAGTGGCTGCGGTCGCCTACGGCCCCACCCCGTGTCGGCTGACCCCTTGCACATTTCGTGGCCCCAAAGGCCCCTCACACGTTTCGTGGCCCCAAAGGGAGCTCGAGCGAGGCCTCAGTGGCTGCGGTCGCATGCGGCCCCGCCTCACTTCGGCGCAACCCTCACACGTTTCGTGGCCCCACATGGGGCTCCACCGACCGAAGGCGTCAGTGGCTGGGTTCGCATGTTGCCCCGCCCCACTTCGTCTCGTGGCTCCACAGGGAGCTCCGCCGAAGGCGCCAGTGGTCTGATTCACATGGTGACCCGCCCCACTTCGGCACAGCCGTCGCACGCTTCGTGGCTCCAAAGGGAGCTCCACCGAAGGCCCCAGTGGTTGGATTCACATGGTGACCCAGCCCACTTCGTCACAGTCCGTCACTCACAGGTCAAGCAGAAGGTGTTGGCGCTCATGGAGCGCTGGCGGAATAAGCGCGAGTCCATATGACGACACCGGCAACGACCACCGACCCCAGCTTCCTAGCTGGACCCATGGAAGGGCATATCAGAATCTGGCGGTCCGTTTGACACCAGATGTATTAAACACGTTTCACCCGTGACCCTCTGTGTTTCTGACGGATTGTGGGGGAACATTGGAGCTCTCGATAATTTCAATATTAACCATTCTGTTCCGACTGCCTTGAAGGACATATTCGGATCCTTAACGCAGGAATCCGAAAAGGCGTACTTACATGAAGACGTACCTCTCCGACCACAGCGTGGCCATGACAGCGAACGACGACGCCAAGCACTGGACCATCTACGGCTCCGCGATCCCAGCGCCGACCGGCGCGACGGCACTCACCAACAGCGACCAGCACCAACACCACCAGATCTACCTCCACCTATCGACTTCCAGCGTCCACCAGCGCAACACTCTGACCTCCAGCCTCCAGCGTCCGACTCTCCACCTCCGCCTCGACCCATCGACCTCCAGCGTCCACCAGCACAACATTCTGACTCCAGGGTTCCAGCATTCGACTTTCCATCTTCACCCCTACTTATCGACTTCCAGCGTCCACCAGCGCAAAAATCCGACCACCAACCTCCAGCATCCGACTTTCCACCTCCACCTCCACCTCCAACAGTCGACGTGCCGCGTCCACCAGCCCAGCAGTCCGGCTTGCAGCCTCCAGCATCCGACTTCCCACCTCCACCTCCACTTATCGACCTCCAACCTCCACCAGCGTAGCACTCCGACCTGCACACTCCAACATCCGACTGTCCACCTCCACCTCCACCAAACGACCTCCAAAGTCCACCAGCGCAACACTCCGACCTCCAGCCTCCAGCGTCCGACGTTCCACCTCCACTTCCACGTATCGACCTCCAGCGTCCACCAACGCAACACTCCGACTCCGGACTTCCAACATCCGACTTTCCACTTGCACTTCTACCTGTCGGCTTCCAGCGTCCACCAGCGTGACCTCCAGCATCCAGCATCCGACTCCGCGCCTCCACCTCCGCCAATCGACCGCCAGCGTCCACCAGCGCAACTCGCCGACCTCCAGCCTGCAACATCCGACATTCCACTTCCACTTCGACCTGTCGACGTGCAATGCCCACCAGCGCAACACTCCGACCTCCAACCTCGGGCATCCTACCTTTCACCTCCACCTCCACCTATCGAGTTCCAGCGTGCACCGTCGAAAGGAGGAGGACGGGGGAAGTACAGTGCAGTAGGGAGTGAGTCGTTACCGTGCGCTCCCTGCCGCCGCCGATGTACATATAACCACACACGCAGACACATGCTTGGCTGTCTGCAGCTGCTTGTGGTTCGGAGAGGAAAAAAGGCCCACGCCCGCCCCCGCGCGCGTGCTCATGCTGTTACACTTTCCTTACCCAGCGCTTAACGGGATGCACATATCCTTTCACATTTTGCAATGTCCACTGACCCGCTAGCATGGACTCCAACAGTGAGGACTACCTTACTTGACGATATTGGCTTGGTTGGGCCTAAGTTGGGTAAAGATGGGTTATCAGCCGACAGCTCTGGGTTATGGACAGGCGACCATGTCGATCAAGATGGGGCAAGCGCGGGTACCTCCGTGAACGTGGAGAAGAACACGGGAGGGATAACCAGCCCCAAAGATGTGGAAATGTTTCAGGAACGAGTCGACGGACCAACGAAGTCGACCTCGCAACGCGTCCGAGAGACAAAAGCAACAATGTTGCATAATATCAACTCACCTGAAAGACCACTATAACCTGCAGAAGAGGACGACAAGGCCATCGCGAAGCTGATGAAGAATAACCCCTTCGCTAGTATACGGGCCCCGTCCCCAGCGGGTGAGACAGCGGAATATGACGATACCCTTGTGAACCGTGGGCGACAGGATGCCCCAATTTCAGATGGCGACCTCGACGAAGAAGATTATTGGTATGGGGGGAGGCCCTGCCCGCGTAACCCGCTGTCAGGTGACGTCGATCAGGCCTACGTCGTGAACTCCAGCTCGTCGGGCGAGGGCGACGAGGCCGAGCATGTCGCCGCGCCGGAGAAGGCGATGGCGATATCGAGCTCGTCGGAGAAGAGTTTAGGATCGGCATCTGATCGGGCCCAGGAGAAAAGGGATGCGGTCTATGTCCGGAGACAGGGGGAGACTCAAAGCCCACGAGACAGCGTCGAACGTCAAAAGGACCTCGCGGCCTCATCCGGGGGGCCTGGAATAGAGACTCGACGCGGGAAACCCCCCGGGGATGACCCAGTGGATGTAAGACAATCCCCGTGCGAAAAGCGCCCGAAGACCGAGCCTGGCGGCTCGAGCGGTCAAGAGGACCCCGAGCCAGTCCCTGATCTGAAACCTCGTGGAAGGCAATTATTCGAGTCACCCGGCTCGATTTCCAGGAGGTCGAGGTCGGGGAAGGGCGGTCGAAGTCGCAACTCACGGGGATCCATTCATGGGTCCTCTCTATCCAGATCGTCAACATCTCGTTTCTCAATAAGGGAGCCATGTGCGAACCGCGGACCGGCGTGCGAGCCAGGCTCCGAGAGTCGGCGCCCAGGCAGAAAAGCTGATGATCGGCCATGCCAGAAGCTTGTGCGCCAGGGGTGTTCTGTCCAATGTGACCTGTGCAATCTGGCATATGTTTGCCAGGAATGTTTGCCGCCGATGCAGCGCAATTGCTTTGTGCATAAACATGGCGAGTGGGAGCTGCAACAGGAAATGAGGCAAAACCACGTGGAACAAGAGCGCGTTTCCGAAATAACAGCCGCGCGCACAATGATGGCAGACATGCAAGCAAAGCAGAGAGCGCAGAATGAACAGATGGCGCAGCAGGCCGAACATGAGCTTAATGCAATTCTCAAAAGGGAAAAGGAGCAGAAGGGTGCCCTCTATGAGGCTGCATTAAAAGCGGGCAAACAGGCCAAGGAGCGCAAAAGGACAGGGCAGGCGATCGCGGAACAGGCCCGGCAAGCGCTCCGTGTAGCGCAGGACCGAGAAGCGAAGCTCGAGGAACAGGTCCGCGCTAAACTTCGAGAGGCAACTATGGCGCAGGAACGGTCCGGTTCCGAGGCGGAACAGATCGCGGCCAGGTCTATCGCCGAGAGGCGGCAATGGGAGCAGAACGCTGTCGAGGCGAAGAGGACTGCAGACATGGCCCTGCGGGGCGCCCAGGCAAGGCAGCAATCACTTGATAACGAGGCCAGGAACGCACAGATGGGAGCAGCCAGTGTGCAAGCCGAACTCAAGCGAGTTTCTGATTCAGCTAAGGCGATTCGTGGGGGGGCACGCGGAGAAGCCGAAGCGTTGATCCGAGTCAGGACAGAAGCCTTCGCAGAGCACGAGGCGGACCTACGAAAGGCAACAGAGTTGAAATCGCAGCAACATAACGCCCAGATAGCTGTGGCAACTTCCCAGGCAGGTCACGCAAACGCGAAAGCTGAGACAGCGGAAGCAATGCAAGCACTGCGAAGAGCAGAAATGCACGCCCAAACCGCAGTTGAGGACAAATCAGCGCCTTCACAGAGAAGCTGTGTCAAACGTGCAGGAATGGGAAGCACGTCGCGAGCTGTTCTACAGGCGGCAGGTCATGCAAATGGCACAGGAAGGGCTCCAAGGCGTGACAAGCACGGTAAGGGTAAGGAGAGCCGTCTCCGCATCGGCGACTCGGGCCCGTCCCGGCAGTGGGGCAATGTCCCAGCTGGCGAATTCGCGATCCAGGCCGGCCGCGTCGGGTGTGACCTGGTGCTTTACATGCCGCATGGCCGATGCCCCGCGCGCGTGCGAGAGATGGCAGATACAGTTTTGCGAACAGCACTTTGAGTGGGCCATGCGGCGGCGCGCGCAGTGCGAGTCTGATCGCGTGCGAGACCATGAGACAGCGCTGAGAAGACAGCGCGAAGAGGAGGAAGCCATGGTGAATATTAGGATGCAAGAAGAGGAAGTAATCAAGCGGTCCAGAGACGAACAGAGGGCCAAAGAAGAGGCCGTAGCCCTTCGACGCATTCATGAGCTTGAAGAGATAGCTGAGCAGCATGCGCACGCGATGGAGAAAGCCGCGCATGCGCAGGCTGAGGAGATGCGTGAAAAGGCGGAGGCAACGATGAGAGAATCAGAAATTGCCGCTGCCAAGGCCAGCGACAAAGACAGCCATCAAAAGGAATTGCCCCCCCAGCAGAATGCAGGAACAGAAGGAAGAAAGGAAGAACATGAAACCGAACGGACCACTGGTCACCACTTTCCCAGGATGCACCACGCCAGCCCGGCCGAAGAAAACCGCGGCCACTGCGGGGGGCCTCGCAGGGGATGGCGATCGGCCCCCGCGCCAGGGCAATGCCCGCGGTGACGGAGACGGGCCGGGGAAGAAGAAGGGTGGGTCTGGTCGCGCGCCTGGGGGTGGCAACCCAGACGATGGCAACTACGGCGATGATGACGACGATGATAATTCCGATGATGAAGACGACTCCGAGGAGGAGGGCTCCGAGGAGGAAGAGTCCGATGGCGAAGATGATGAAACCTCCGAGGAAGAAGATGAGGAGGCTGCGAACCGTAGAGTCAGACGATACACCGAAGCTCAGAGGGCTGGGCAAGGCGATCCGGGGGGTGGCGGACCACCGCCCTCAGGGCCTCCTGGAGGAGGCGGGGGCCCAGGTCTCCCGGACTCCGGCGGTCTTGCACATGTGATGACACCGTGGATTGCGGCAGATCGGATCGACAAGCTAACTCTAGACCCGCTGCCAGACGCGGGGTCCTTCCGAATGTGGAGAAGTCTGTCATTCGAGCGGTGGCATCGAGCTCGCAGCAAAACCGTGTGTTGTTGGAACTTCTGTTCGGGCCTCCCCGTGGGGCCCTGCGTTGATGGGGCTTTGATGGCAGACCCCTGTGTCCTCCGAGTTGCCCCCTGAGTCGATCGCCAAATGCCGCGAGATTCCTGGGTTCAAGGTTTGATGGGCCGCGCTTCGGCCTGAGAAAACATTGATCGTCTCAAAATGCCTCCGACTCGACCATCCGTTCTTGCACGCATTCTTATGCGCGCGTCGCATGCAACCTTTCATTGCATTATCAGGCGAGAAGCCTAGTATTGAACAGAGCATTGCGTTGTGAAGAGCATTGCGTTTGGCGTTGCATGCAGTAACAACGCGCTCGCCGTGTCAAGCACCATTGCAGTCGCGCAGTCACGCGTGCCATCGGCGCGCCGAGTATCACTCACGCGTGCGCGACAAATGCTGGTTGTTTACAATGTCACACAGCCATCGCGTTGCATAATGCACGGGGCTCTGGTGAGGGTTCTAGAGAGCGTAGGTGGACGAGGTAACCCCCCATCGGCGCCCGAAGGGCATGCTTTTTACCATCTGGAGAGCCCTGCGAGCCCTAGTCAAAGTTCGCCCAGTAGGACCGCGAGTACAACGTGGGGTCGAGAGCGCCCGACTGACGGGGCCGCCCCCCGGCGCCCGAGGGAGTTTGTTTTTTGCTTTCTGTGCCCCCTTGCAGGTCCCATGGTGTCCTAGAAAAACCGCCCAGAAGAACCGTCTCCCGTCCTCCCTCGCCCCCCCCCGCTCGCCTTCAGTGCAGCCATTTTGGCGCGCAGCTTTACGCGAGTCGGCTTGCGTGCCCGACGGTTGCCTTTCTTCAGAGGAAGATTTCTGGCATCAGACGGTGTTGTTTCTGACGAGGATGTCTTGTCTGGCGTCGTGGCGTGCCCGCGCGTTGCCGAGCCTGAGACTGAGGGCGACGAGGATTTTCTCGCTGGCGGCCGCGACGGGCCACTCGTCAGCGCAGGGCGGCCCGCCGAGGCCGCTGGTGGCAGACCAGTTCTGGACAGCCTGCTCTCTGCGAGTGCTGCGTCTGCCTACGCGCCCCAGGTCATCGTCGAGCGCGGCCGCGGGATTATTCCGAAGGCTGCCCGACCTCTCGTTCAGAGTCTGCAGCCGCTGCCCGCTGATGTCTTGCGGAATGGCGTTCCACGTCTGGTTTGTCTCATGTTGGACGGAGGCGCGCATCGATCTACGACTATGGCCTCGTCGTAGAAACTCCGTGGTGAGTGCGGCATTTCCGCGTCGAAATGGCACGAGACGTGCGACGCCGCCGCCCACGCGACATTCCAGGTGTTGCGGGACACGTTCGAGCAGTTCGCCAAATCCCTCATTGGAGTCTGCAGGGCGAACGTCGATGGCTCTGGAGTTGCAACGCCAATGAATGCCCTGCTGCAGTTGCGTTTTCTGTCATGCGACGGGACGAAGCAGATGGTGAGAGTATTGGGCAAATTTCCTGTGCCAGGCGGGAGCAGCTCACGCGCATTCGTCGACCCCACGGCTGCCAAATACGAGGTGTATGTTGCGAGTGCTCCTCGGGCGTTTTGCTTGAGCAAGGGTGGGCTCCAAGCTGCTATCCCTCATCATCAGGGGGCCCACTCTGTTGCACGCGACAGATGGCACGGCGGGGGGGTCGATCTATGCAGCTTTGTCACACCTCGCGTGCAGCGTGGATCTGGAGTTGGAGAAGACGTTCCTGCGGAACGTCGACGTGGTCATTACCGACGAGGCTGGTTCAAGCATTCGTTACCAGAATTGGAAGCAAGTTGCTGATCGAGTGCCGTGGGTCTTATTGCACCTCTTCTGCGACGCTCACAAGAAGCCAAAGATTGCGAGTTCGGGCCATGCCGTGCAGAAGCCGGCCGACACGATGATCGTCCGTTTTCAGCTTGCAACGCGGGGCAATCTACCACGGATCACGAAGGCGATGAGAGATATCATTGCCGAGTGACTCGTCATTATCAATGGCGGCGTGTTGGGCGATATCGATGCAATGTACACCAGACACGTGTGCGAGACGTTCCTCCCCATTCGGGGGTCTGGAGACCGATGCGGGCGGTCTTTGGCGGAGGGGTTGTGGAATGGCAATTTGAGGCGGTCAGGCCGCGACGAACACTTGTGTCGGGGCTGCTGCAAGTCCCGACACCAGACGCTGTACTTGATGCAGACTTGCGGCCTTCGAGCTCTCACGAAGCACGTGGGCCACGTCATTGACAGGCAGAACTGGGCTGGGGCGGACCTCTGCTTGGGAGGGCTCGGCGCGGCGTCGTTCGTCCATAACCTACTGCCGTCTGCATTCGTGGCTGTGTTCGGCGGCATGTACCAGGATACCCCTGACGGAGGTGTTGCCGGCGACGGCCAGGGCGGCGATATCGGCATGGTCGACGGCGACGCCGACGCAGAGAAGGTCATCCCAGTCAGCGTTTGGAGAGAGGGCAACAAAGTTAAGATTCCTCGCACCATATATTGGATTGTTAGCTGTGAGTTCCACGACGGACTATATATTTTCACGCGTGCTCACGGACCGTGCAGCGAGATGCTTCTGCGAGAGTTGGAGCGAAGCGGAGTCGAGTGGGAGTTGAAGCAGCAACGACGTCTTCTCGTGGACGGGGAGCGCACGTATCCTTTGTGGGAGGCTGCTGACCGCCGTGATGTCAAGCAGTTTCGGGAGCAGCTTGGATCGATGCTTTTCGACGACGCTTGGCCCGCCCTGGCGCGGCCCACTGAGAGTCAACAGCTGGTGCTCTTCGTGTTGTGTTCCCGCCTTTCAGCGAGCGCATGCGAGTTGGTGGAAGTCAGACACAGCAAGACGCCGTACCTCACGCGCTGTTCCTTGCGGGACCTCGAGGCCCTCCGCGCTCTGGAGCGCAGCCCTAGGTGCACCCTCGACGCGCGCGCCGAAGATTTCATGGCTTCTTATTCAGATAGGGGCGGCGCCGACGGCAGGATGGCGAAGGTCGAGCTTTCTGGAGCGTTGCCCTTGATGCAGACCAACTCGGCCGCCATCGAGCGCACGCGCAGCGAGAGCCAGTTTCGAGGCGAGTCGCAGCATTTCACATGGGGAGCTGGGCATAACCTCACTATCTGGCCATGCGTTGTTCCGCCAGGAATGGAAGTGGCAGAGGTCTGTGTTCAGGTGCTGGGGCGACTACGTGAACACCGAGGCCAGGCGGGAGCGGCCGAAGCAAGCAAAACGATCGCTACGACCGCAGAGTATGGCCGCATGGGTGTGGCGAGCCTTTGTCCACATGGAGGCAGGTGGGGCCTTCGTGGATCAGGCGCTCGGGGCCGAGCTCTCGGCCGCTTCCACAGCTTCACGGAGCAGCAGCGCGAGCCGTACAAGGACCCGGCGGCAGTCGCCACCCAGGAGCATTTGGCTGATCGGCGGGGTTTCGGGCCCGCCCTCGCGCGTCATCGAGCGCGTCCCTTGTCTGGCACAGGTCTCGTCGTGGTCGCCGACGCCGCCGTCGCCGCCCTCGAGGGCGTCGGCGACGGCGGCGTGACCGTCGAGGAGGCGAACGAGTTCGCCGCCGACAACGCGATCTCACAGGGCGCGCTGCGCCAAGGGTGCACAAGGCTGCGCTCAAGGCTGCGCTCGAGAGGGAGCGCGACGCGGCCAGGGCTGCGGCGGCGCACCTCCACCAACGGTCGGATGCTGATTCGCCAGGGCTCGGGCAGGAGTGGGACCTGGTGGCGGGTGATTTGGCCGCCTCCCCCGCTGCTGGCTTGTCGATGATGCAGTCCATGGTCCCTTCTTTGCAGTGCACGAGGGCAACGTCGTCCCTTGTCTCGGAGGTCCTGCGAGCTCTGGACGTCATCACGAGGCGAAGGAGTGGGCCAAGCTCCACAGGCACACGACCGAGGCGGACTGCCCCAAGCTGCACGCACCCGTCAGGCCCAGTCGTTGGTGTTGGGAGGCAGGGTATTGTATATGCAGTGGCCCTTCGGCGGTCGTCAAGAGGGTCCACTCCCAGCCGGCTGTTCTCTGGCGCCGTCTGAGGCACATCTTGGGGGATAAGACCTTCAGCCAGAAGCTTGAGGATGGCGTGTTCGTGCTCAGGCTGACGTGCGTCGGCGTCCCCATGCACGAGCCGCCGCCGCAGTCGGTCGCCGATCCTAGCTCTGCAATCGTTGCGGATGGCCAGGCGCCAGGGGCTGAGTGGCTGCTCCACGTCGCCTTCCAGTGCGCCAGGCCGTGGAGGCCGACCTTCTCCCGCGCGCGCTGGGAGCCGTTGGAGGACCGCGCTGGCATCTTGGGCGTCGCTCCCGAGCGCGACGATGCAGGCGGGGCTGGCCTTTTGCTCCACGACCCGACCGTTTTCGAGGTCGCTCGCAAGTGCTTCGATGCAGCGTGGACTAAGCGGCCAATCCATGTTCAGGTGCACGAGTTGGTTGCGGACGGCCGCAGGGTTGCTCTCTGCCAGCCGAGCCGACAGCGTATCTTGGCCCATCCGCTCTTCGAGTCAGACACGACACCTGGGAGTTGAAGCCACCGCCGCCAAGGCGCAGGAGAAGGAAGATCTGGTGAAGGGCTCGAAGTGCGGGCCTGGCCCGAAGCCGAAGGCGTCGCCCGTCCCCGCCTTAGAGCGCGACAGCGGCGGCAGCACCGACGAGATGGGCGAGCTTGGGGGCATGCCCGCAGTTGAGGACGACGATCATGCTGATGTCGCGCGTGGTGGGGAGCCTGAGCCCGCCTCCGATGATTCATTTGACCTGTTTGGTTGGAGCGATGGTGATGACATGAGCGGGGTGTGCGGCATCCCAGTCGGCGGCGAGCTCGGCAGCGGCGATCCTGGCATTCCGCCGCCTCCTGGTGATGATGGCGGGCTGTTCGAGGACCCGCCGCCGCTGCCTGTGGCCGAGCCGCTGGAGCCGCCGCCGCCGCCTGTTGGCGGACGCGGCGGCCCGCGCGGCGCCCCGCCCGTGCTAGAGTTGCCGCCCCATGGCCGAGTCAGTTACTACGCCAAGGGCCAGCGTTTCACAGCTGAGTGTGACCTGCATTCAGTTATTTGCAAGCGCGTGTGCTCTCGAACAGGAAAAGAGGGCAGGTTTGCAGCTAGGGCGGGGCAGGGCAGACCATTGGGCCTCCTGGTCGCGCGGTTCACGTCTCCCCGCCCAGACTGGGCTGTAAGCCAGGGCGAGCGCGTTCATCTGTGGGAGCCCGATTTCGCTGCCAGGCAGGCGGTCCGCGATTGGCTAGAAGCCGAGGCCGCCACGCATCCTATTGTGCATGGGTTGCCCGCGGAAGAGCGCAGGCGACGGATTGGTGCGGGCGAGGGCTCTGAACCCCTGATCGTCCCAAAGTGAAACACTTGCATTCGGCCACAGGTCATCCGTTTCCTCGTCCTCATTCCTTGCCTCCCCCTGCCGCCTGGTCATTCAGGCGGGCGAGGGAAGGGGTGGCCAGGGGGGACTGAGGAGCCCGAGCGATAAGAGCAACGCAAGTGCGTCATCGTCCGTTGTTGCCGCGGCCGCGGGTGTTGCCATAATGGGTTGCACCTCTCATCGCCACCCGCAGTGGCCGTCGATCGCCCCCCGCCCCCTCCGCTGAGCTTCGGCGTCAGCCTTGGGCATTCCAAATGATAGCATGCCCACCTTTTTGGGGTCCACACGCCTCCTCTCGCTCCTCCTCATCAACCTCCTCCTCCGCCCCATCAACACCATAACCCACCACAACTGTATGCTCTTCCCTTCCCCCCCCTCGCCACGATCTCGTCAAGCGAATGTCCATATGAGCTTATGCGAAGTCTAAGTTTCGTCTAGGTGCGTTCCAACGTTCCTTCCGTTGGAATCCCCGATGCCTCTCTGGGCTAGGGGGGGGGGGGGGGGGCGATGAATTCGATGGGGTGGAGGAGCAGGGGGGGGGGGGGGGGGGATTCGGTCTCTTTACAACCAGAACATCCACTTTACAACCAGATGGGTTACTTTACAACCAACATAGGATTGGAAAGTATGGTTTTTCATCGAGAACGTCCACTTTGCAACCAGAACGGCACACTTTACAACCAGAACGGACCACTTTACAACCAGAACGGGCCACTTTACAACCAGAACGGACCACTTTACAACCAGCTCAGAGTGGCCGTGCCGTGCGTGTTTGGGCGTTCCGCAACGTGCTCCAGAGCAAGCGGGCGCTCTGAAAAATGCCCCGGAGCACGTGAGCGCTCTGAAAAATGCTCCAGAGCAAGTGGGCGCTCTCAAAAGTGCTCCAGGGCGCGCGGACGCTCTGAAAAGTGCTCCAGAGCACGTGTGCGCTCTGGAGCCCGAGCGCCTGAACTCCCTGCGCAGGCCCCAGCGATGCCTCTGAGCCCGAGCGCCTGAACGCCCTGCGCAGGCCCCAGCGATGCCTCTGAGCCCGAGGACCTGGGCGCTCTGCGCAGGCCCCAGCGATGCCTCTGAGCCCGAGGACCTGGACGCTTTGCGCAGGCCCCAGCGATGCCTCTGAGCCCGAGCGCCTGGGCGCTCTGAGCAGGCCCCAGCGATGCCTCTGGGCCCGAGCGCCTGGACGCTCTGGCGCTCTGAGCCCAGCAGACTAAGACAGGGCTTGCTAGCAGGGGCCAGGCGGCCTCAACAGGGGCCCCGTGCTCGCGCGGGAATAAGGCGACAGCATACGTAGGAAGGCTCAGGGCGACGCGCTGCCCATTTCAGGGATCACTCACAGGAAGCGAGCCCACTGGCCTCCACAAGGGCCCAGCGCCCCAGGGAACGAGGCCATTGGCACCGCGGGTCTCTTGGGCCACGTTGGCCCCTGAAGCCCCACGGTGTTCTGCAAGGGGTTAAGTGCTCCAGCTCCAGTTGGCCCCCTGCTGCTCCTCTTCTTGGAAGATCGAGGTTCAACGTTCCGAATACATGCAACTATTTCGAAGATCGTTCCTTCCAGCGTCAGCCGCAGTGCCAGCGCAGCAACGCAGGTATCCTGCTCGGGCAGCAGCCTCAGCCACCGTGCCAGCGCAGCAGCTTGAGCCACCGTGGCAGCGCACCACCGCCACCTTTGTGCCTGCTACCACCGCACTTACCGCTGCAGCCCCGCTGCCTCCACAATTCCGACTGACCCCCGCTACCACCGCAAATCCCATTGCAGCCCAGCTACCACCACAGTTCCCACCGTTGCCTGGCGACCACCACAGTTGCCACCGCAGCTTCCCAACACCGTGCAGTTCCCATTGTAGCCGCCGCTACCACCACATCTCCCACTACAGCTCCCCACTGCCATGCAGCTCCAGTCTTGGACGGGATCATGGTCTATTCGTATGTCCTGCGCGACTAGCCTTCGTCCGTCAGAAAAAAAGCAGAGCAAGCAATGGCAGGCATGACCGACAGAGGTTAGAGAGCAGGTCAATACCCTAATCCGCCCACCAGCACGCAACATACCATACCGCACCAGGTCGCCGCATCGCCAACGCGTGCGCAGTGCTTCTTCGTGCGCGATGGGCAACTTTACAACCAACGTGCTTCAAGGAGCCCAAAGCCACCCTTGCGCTTGCCCACGGAGATTTCAGGGGAAGGCCCGCGTGCATGCAACGTGTGTTTTTTACTTGCCTGGTTGTAAAGTGCCCTTCCTGGTTGTAAAGTGCCCCTCTCGCATTTTGTAAGCTGGTTGTAAAGTGACCCATCTGGTTGTAAAGTGCGCTTCTGGTTGTAAAATGACCCACGTGCGGGGGGGGGGGGCACGGGGGATGGGGGGGAGGATGAGGAGCAGGATGAGGAGCAAGAGTATGCGGAGGAGAAGTATTGCCACTCCCTGCGCCACGCGCAGCAGCAGAGGGTTGGGCCCTTCGCCAGGTGTTCCGTTTCGCTCCGTCGGGCCTTTCGCCAGGTGTTCTGTTTCGTTCCGCAGGCTTCGCATTTCGCCAGGTGTTGGCCTGGGGCGACCTGCGATTGTGGGTCCTGGGTCGTCGTCATTTCATGGCCTGAGGGGGGTCCTAGGTGCACCTCGGGCGGCTGCCGTTGCTTCGGCCGTGCCCCCCCCGCTCGTAGCCATCAGCGTGGTTCTCAGGCATTGTTTTCCAGTTATCGCGCCCTGCTCTCCCATGTCAACTCGTTTGGTTGGCGAGCCACTTCGCAAGCTCAATGAAATGAGATCGTGAGGGAACTCGCGGAGGACGGTCGGTGGTCGGTCTCTGAGAGCAATGTTGTTGCTGGCGCGAGATTCAACTGCCCTCGGCGTCCGCCGCGCCCAGGTAGCGGACCATAGTGTGGAGAGGGACTCCTCGGGCCCCCCAGGGGCCCGCGAACATGGCGACAGCTCGCAGTTTACAGCTTTTTGCGCGGCGCAGACCGCGTGGCCTTTGCCGCGGCCCCCAATGAGCCCCCACCCCCCCTCCCCCCAGGGCCCCGCGCCGCCCCCGTCCCACTCGTTAACTACAGCAATCGCATAGCATGTGAACCGCTTTTCAGCAAAGCCCACGATCTCCCCCACCCCCCCTTCCCGAAGAGTTCCCGACATATCCCTCGGGCGCCTATGCCGCGACATGCCGCGGCGGCGGGCGCATCCACCGCCCCAGCGGTGCCGTCCGCTCCGCGTTCCCAGGCCCTGAGCTCAGCGACTGAGAGCAGACCGTGGCCCAGCGACCTCTTGTCCTTCGAGAAGTGCACCCCGACCGCGCAGAGTGCCCCGATCAGAGCGGCGCCAGCTCCAGCCGCCCCAGTGGCGCCGCAGGGTGGCCATGGCGAGTGCGGCGCCGCCGACGTCGCCGATGGTCGGATGCCAGCCGACGCCATCATCCCCGCCTGGCACGGTCACAGGCGCGCAGGATTACGGCGGCGGCGGAGAGGCGGCTGCGCAGGCCCGTGGCGCATTCGGCGGCGCCATGGATGTCGGCGGTCGCGGACAGGCGCCCGAGGGCGCCGCGGTCGGCTTCGAGCAGATGGTGCGGAGCGGCACCCTCGAGCCCTTCGAGCGGGGCGGTATCATCTTCTATTTTCCCAGCTCCATGCCGGGGCCGCAGCAGCAGCTCGTCGCCCAGCCAGCTCCACTACTAGTGCAGCCCGCCAACCTGAGGGCGCCCGTCACACCGCCATTGGCATTCCCATGTCCAGGGGCTCCTCGGCCCGCAATGGGCGCCAGGTGCCACCCAACGTTCAGGGGCAACGTGGCCCGGGGTTCCCGAACGCGCAGCCCCTGTGTCAGCGCCCCAGGCTGCCCGCTCAACGCTGGCCAGACCACGTTCGGCACGTTCCAGCCAGATGCGCGCGGCGGCTACAGCGTGATGGCGCAGTCGGCTCGCGACCCCATCTGCGCGGGGATGACCGCGGTCTTCGGTGGCAGCTCGTTCGCGGCGACACCGATTGTAGGCTCGGTGCGCGGTGGCCAGCAGCAATCGCTGCCCTCGCAGCGCCACCGCGGCGGCTTGCCTGTGCCCAGGGCGCCAGGCTTGCAGGCGCCGCCTCAGGTGCCGCGCCCGCCCGCACGAGGCGCCTCCCGATCACCTTTTGATGACGGGCCCTCTGGTGTCGAAGGCTCTATCATCTTTGGTCTCGCGTGCTCCGCCCGTGCCCGTGATGCAGCCGCCGCCTGCCCAGGCGAAGTGTGCGATTTTGGCGGGGCCGCCGAGCTTTGCGCGCCCGCCTAGTGGCCCTAGCGGCCACCAGCCATACTAGTCTGATGATGGCAATTCGGCCCCGAGCCAGCGCTGCGCACGTTCCTTCTGGCAGCTCAGCTCGGCAGCTGCGACGACACAGGCGTCGCAGTCCTTTCCTTCTCTCTTGTTGTAACGAGGAGCGCCCACGTGGAGGATGCGGATGAAGATGAGGATGTGGGAGGGGGTGGGGGTGGTGTGTGTGTGTGTGTGTGTGCGCGTGCGTGCGGCGTGCGTGCGTAGCGTGTGTGGTGCGTGCGTGTGTGTGTGTGTGTGTGTGTGTGTGTGTGTGTGTGTGTGTGTGTGTTCGTGTGTGTTGTGTGGTGTGTGTGTGTGTGGTGTGTGTGGTGGGTGGTGTGTGTGTGTGTGTGGTGTGTGTGCGTGGTGAGTGCAGTGCGTGTGTTGTGGCGTGTGTGTGTGTGTGTGTGTGTGTGTGTGTTGTGTGTGTGTGTGTGTGTGTGTGTGTGGTGTGTGTGTGTGTGTGTGTGTGTGTGGTGTTGTGTGTTTTGTGTGTGTGTGTTGTTTGTGTGTGTGTGTGTGTGTGGGTGTGTGTGTGTGTGTGTGGGGGGGGGGGGGGGGGGGGGAGGAGGAGGGGATGGAGGGTGAGGAGGGGGATGGAGGACGAGGGGGGCGGGGGGGGGCGCAGAGGGCGCGGAGGAGGAGGCGGGGGGATGAGGGGGGATGAGAAGAGAGAGGATGAGGAGCATGAGGAGGAGGATGAGGAGGAGGAGGAGGCGATGAGGAGGAGGAGGGGGGAGGAGGAGGGGGAGGAGGAGGAGGGGGAGGGTGAGGATGATGAGGGATGAGGAGGTGGAGAAGGAGGATGAGTAAGACAGCATCCGAATGCATGGCATATCCTTTGGCCTGCCCTCCTCCCCCCTCTCTCCTCGCCTTCCTCTCCTCCTTCCTCCTCGCCTTTCCTCCTCTTGGCCCCCCTAATCCTCCCCCCCCGTTCCCCCCCGGCCACCCTCCGTCGCCGACCCCCTCATCCTTTCGCCCATCCCCCGCCTCCTCCTCCCTCCCCGTGCCGCAACTCCCCCCCCCACCTTCTGCCTCCTCCTTTCCCCGCCACCCCCCCCCTCATCCTTCCTTCGCATCTCTCCTCACCTTCCATGCCCCCCCCCCCCTCCCCCCCTCCTCTACGCGCCCTCCTCGCTGATCAGCACCTCGGCCCGTCATCCCTTATGCAGCCTCTCCTAATTGTGCCCCATCACCCCTCATAGCACCCGCTTCCAGCTCACACGCGCAGTCAGACTCGCGCGCGCACAGACACACTCGCACTCACACCTACTCACGCATTCATGTGTGCTCACACACGTACGTTCTCACACAATTAGTTGCACCCGCGCACTCATGGGCACTCACGCACTCAAGTACAATCACACGCATACACACACTGCACCAAGCACTTCTACAACCACAGCCAGACAAATCATGCTCGGACTCACATGCGCGCAGGCCCGTTCACATGCAGGCTCGATCACGCTGGCAGAAAGCGCAGTCAGACTCACAACTTGCGAGGGCGTCCCGGGCGACGCGCTGGATTCAGCACCGCAACGCCCAGACCAGAGCCGCCAGAGGGTGGGGCGTTCGCCCCTTCGCGGTCAGATTGCGGGGACGTCTCTGGCGGCGCGCGCGTTCGGTTGCTCGGGCTTCTCTGCGTTCAGGCAGGGGAGATTGGCGATGTCTCAAGCGACGCGTGAATGTTCAGCTTTCCAACGGGTGGTGGCGCCAGGGTGTGGAGCACTCGCGACGTCTCTGGGCATCGCGTGGCCCACCCGCCTCCTGTGCCCCTCCCAGTATAGCAGTTGTTGCTCTGCTTTGTCGCAGGCCTTTTCTGGCGATGCCAATGCACGCGCCCATGCCCACCTCTCATTTGCCCCTCTCGTCGCCGCAGCCCGCAGGAGCCGGCGGTCGACTACCAGGGGGCAGAGGGCAACGAGCCGCAGGACACACTCGAGAGACCAGGGACGCCGTGCATCCCCCGCTGTCTTGGCTCAAAGCAAGCTCCGCTCTTGGCTCGTGCTCCACGAGGAGTTTCGGGCGCTCTGGCGGAGGCCCGCGCCGTCAATTGAGCGGGGCGCACGCGCTTTCTGCAATGCCGCTGCGCATTCCCAGCGGGGACCGACGCGGGCTGCCCCTTGGGGCGGCGCCGTCGGCTCCTATCCGACGTCCGCGCCTCGCGGGTGGACAAGCGCGGCGCGCGTGGTTTGCCACGCGCAGTCGTTGGGTGATAGCGTCATCGCCTGGTGGCGCGCCTGCATGGCTCGAGCGCGGCGACGCGCGCGTTCGGGCCGCTGGTTTGGCGGCTCGAGCCGCCTCGGCTCGCGATGAGCTCCAATGCCAATGGTCAGTGCGCCGCCCTTCGGGTTCGCCCGCAGCGAGTCCCAAACCCCTGGCGCGTCGTCCGCGCGCGGCGACCACCAGAACCTCATCCGCGATGCCTCGCCACGGGGCGGGTTCGACCAGCACCCCATCAACACCTCATCAAAACACCATCAAGACCCCATCAACGTTCCATCAACACCCCATCAAAACCCCATCAGGACCCCATCAAGTTTGATCAATTGTGACCAGCGCACCATCAAGTATGATGGGGGACAACCAGGAATTTGATCAGCACATTCTCATTATCATTTTTTCAAAAAAAAAAAAAAAAAAACAATTTTGACCAATGTTGATCAACGGTGAACCATTTTCGACCAAAACCCCATCACAACCCCTCAACACTGATCCAAACCCATCAAACCCCCATCACAACCCCATCAAACCATTACCAAAACCGCATCGCGCACCCAACATTTTTGATCAATTTTGATTCAACTACCATGGAGCCACGGTGCCGTCATTTAGTCTACCATCAAGCAGGTGCGCCTGATACGCGGCCCAGAATTTTGCAAAGAACCCCCCCCCCCTCGGCTTCAGAATTTTGCAAAGTACCCCCCGCGCCCCCTGCCAATTCCAGAATTTTGCAAAGTACAACCCCCTCCCTCCCCCTCGACAGGCAACGGTGCCCCGCCGTTGTTGGCAGGCTTCCTTCGTCTCAGATAGCTGGCGCGCCAGCGTGGTCGACGACGATGGAGCTCGCATCTCCCATCGGCTGCGCCCACAGCGAAAGGCCGCCTGCATCGCGGGCCCGCCCCCGCCAGCGCATCGGGGCCTTTGGCGTCGCGTGGGCGCCCTTTGCGCGCTGGCGCCCGCGCGGGGAACCCTTCCGCGCCGCGCGCTGGCGAGGCCCCCGTCCAGCGCGCCTTTTTCCCGCTGGCTGCGCGCGCCGATGGCGCTGCCACCGCGGCGCGTCGGCGGGGGGTGGGGGCGGCGCGCGCGGCGGGGAGGGGGGGGGGGTGGGGCGGCGCGCGGGGCGCCTCTCAGCGCGTTCGCGGACGGGGCGCTCCGCAGGCCGACGCGAGGCGAAGCCGCGGCGGTGATTTGCGGCGCCGCGCGCGGAGGTGGCAGCGCCGCCGCCGGCCGAACGCGATCGCGGCGTGGCATTGCCAGGCTCGCCGCAGCGGCGGAGGCTCCTCCGCGGGGCGCGTGAGTGCGCCGCTGCCGTTTGCCGATGGCGGCCGCCCTGCGGGGTCACATCGGAACGCGTGCCCGGGCCGTCGGGGCGGCAAGGGCGTCGTGCCGATTGTCGGCGCAGCACCACGGGCTTTCGTTCCGCTTCGCCAGGTGGGCGCAGCGCCGCGGCGCCCAGCGCCAGTCGGCGCGACGCGGCGCCGTGCTCGAGGGCGCGCGGGCGACTGCGCCCACCGCAGGCAGCAGCGCGGCGTAACCACGGCGGAGAGATCGCGGTCGGGCCCTTGGGCGGTCGCCAGCGCATCGGGCGCGCGCGCGCGACGCCGCCGACTTCGGCGGCGACGGGGGGCGCGCGCCCTCGCGCCAGACGGGGGCGGCCTCGAGCGCGCTGTCGCGCCGCCGCCCGACCGCTTGGGCAATGCAATGCGCACCCTTCGCGCTCGCGCGCGCCCCCCCCCCTTCCCAGCCCGTCGGATGCCGTTCGTGGCTGCGTCGCGCGGCCGCGCTGCCGTCTCTGCGCTCGAGCGCCAGCTACTCTGCCCCGAGCAAAGAGCATCCCCGTTGTCTTTTGCGCGCTGCCGCGCGCGCTGCGCTGAAGCAACTAGTGCGCGCGCGCGATATCTCGGCGTTGCCAGCGCCTCGCAGCCTGGGCGCCGCCGCGCGAGGCACCGTCGGGGTTCTCCGTTTACGCACCTATCGGCATATGCGCGCGCGAATGTCCGCTTGAGAAGAGGTCAGTCGCCGTCGGTTCCGCGAACCGACCCGCTGCGCCGCGGGAGTCGTGATGTCGTTCGGTCGCCCAGTCTTGGCGCCAGCGCAATGCCTCTGAACTGGTGAAGCCCGCGCCCCGCCGATTGCGCGCTCGCGCATGCCCGCGATGGCACTGCCCATCGTAAGAGCCCTCGCTGAGTGGGCCCTCTGAGCTTGCATACTACAGCTTTGTTGTTTTTGTTTTAGTTCTGGGTCCGCCAGAAGGTTGCGCCCGTGCAGCTCGGGCCGTCGTTGGTTCCATCCATGGTCCGTTAGGAGCTTCCAGGTTTCAGTTCAGTGTTTACATGTAACGCAATGTGTGGTTATTATTCGTAATACATTTGTTAGTTGCATTGGATTGCCTTGTGTTGTGGTTGTCAGATCGGCCCCGCCGTGCTCGTCGGCTGCGTTCCTGGTGGGTCACATGTTCCCGTGGACCGGATAACCGCGACGAGGCCGCGCCCCCGCCCGCTCCGTTACTTCAAGGGGCGGCTTTGCTGTGTCTTCTCTAGGCGTGGGCAGACGCCGTCGTCGAGGCGTCGGCGCTTGAGGTATGATGACAACATCATTTAGGCTCGAGTCCCTCTTGGCCCTTGGTGACCTTACGACCATTCTCCGTGGCACACTGTTGCTCAAACAAGTGCTTCTCCATCTGTCCAACCGTCGGCCCTTGCCAGTCGCGGCGCCCGCGGCATGCCACCTCATAGGCTGCATTTTCATACGGAAGCCAACGCCCTCAAGAAGTATGCCTGT